ACACACACACACACACACACACACACACACAAAATGAGTCAGTGATAATCCTGAAGAGATCTGACGGTACCGAAAGGTTAGTTTAGTCGATTAAAAGCTATCCAGCTGTTCGAAGGCTAATCAGACAACCGAAAGTCATACAACCCACCGAAGGCTAGTCATACGACCGAAGACCATTCAATAGACCGAAGGTAAGCCAAAACTACCGAAGGGTTGCCGATTGACAGATTTTGATACGAAAAAAGACCATAATACCATGTACATCCCCCACTCACACAATGTGGCATAAATGTATTTTTTATGTATGGTCCTTCCATCATCTATAAATATGAAGGTTATTCTTGTCGGGGGCTCTTAGACCCGTCCACTGTAACACTTGCTTTCAATGATGTAAAATGGGTCGCAGAGCTGGAGAATACTTCAATTTGAGACAACTGGTGACGCACTCTCCCTCTTTCTTTATTTTTCGCTCTCCTATTATAGATATATTAATATATATCTGTGTGTGTGTGTGTATTTATATATCTCTGTGTGTGTGTGTGTTAAAATTGATCCTAGTTCAATAAATTAAAATTTTTAGAGAATTTTATATTTGATTTATAACCCCACCATAATGTAAAGTATTATTGTACTTCAAATTATGTCTATTTATGCTTATTTATATAAGCATTGAAAGTGTGAAAAGTATGAAGATTCTTATAGGATTGATCTTGCTTAAATCATCAGCACGCTTCTATAAAAATAGTTTTAAGTACAATTTGGAGTTTGTTTTATGAACTATTTTCATCAATCTTTTTAATATATAATATACAATCTATTGAATAATTTTTTCATGAACTTTTAAATTCTAAATTTGGAGAAATAAAATGATTTACATAAAAAAAAATTTATTTAAAATTAATAATTTCCTAAATATATGTATAATATTATTTATTTCCTTGTAATTCCTTAACCTTCCTTACCCTGTTTTTATAGTTGTAAGACCAAAAGAAAGAAATTCAATGTTTAAATGTCTTAGGCCTAATTACATGTGTGCACTAATTGAAAAGTTATTATATTCATGAATGGCTACATCATTATGCTATTTTTACTGGTCTATATGCACATGCACAAGCACATTAGGAAGGAATGTTTTGGGTAAATGTGTTAAAAATATATGTTTTTTCTTTTTTTTTTTACTTTATGAAATAGATTATAGGAAAAATTATAATGTGGGAAATTTGTATATATAAGGATTCATTGTATAATATTGTTGTAAACTGTTGTATACGTGTTGTGCAACCCTATAAAATATTGTCATAAATATAGTACATATGCATATGAACTCCGTATGTAATTACTCTTGATTCATAGACATGAAGATGGAAGGCGAGAAAGAGAGAGAGAAATAGAGAGTGAGAGAGAGAGAACTTACGTGAATGAGATGCTCCTTCAAGCTCGACTCAGCTGGAAGGAGTGAGGAGCTCCGACGTATGTGGAGGGAGAGAGAGAGGGAGAGAGATTTAGAGAGATAAGGTCATCCAAACGAGGAGAGCAGGGAGCATGAGAGAACTGAGGAGTGAGAAAGAATGGAAAAGTTATTAGATATTGATCATATATATATAATTGCATGCCTAATTGTATATTTTTCATGTGATTGAATGCTCGCAAATACGTCCTTTACATCGAATAGTTTTTCGATTTAGGAAGGGAGTAATATTCGAGGACAATGAAATAAAATATCTTTTTTTGGACAAATATATAAATATTTCTCTCATAATTGGTATTCATAAATCTAGTATAATTTTTCATTAATCTTTGTTAAATTCTCGCTAAAATATCAAAAATCATGATAAAACTTTGGCTCATATCATTTTAATCAAATGCTCGATGGTTGTTTGATCATGGCATGTGTAAATGCATAAGTTCGATATTTTGAAAAATTATATGGGTGCTAGCATTGTAAATAGCAATGTTTGAGTGTTGTATGAAATTTGCATACATACATACATACATACATACATAC